AAAATATTTCAAAAAGAAATTCAAAATCTCGTGGAATTAAAATTCTTTGCTTTTACATGTATAGTGTTTTCTGAGTGAAACGATGTATAGATATATAACGGATTTATATACTCGTAATTAATTTTATTTTTATTGTTGTATACACTTCTTATAGATTTAAGTAAAAAAATTGAAAGTATTATGTATTTTTTACTACAAAAATGTAGTTTGTAATTCTGATAATTTCAACTGAATCAATAACATTTAAATTTTCAAACAAAAAAAAATTTTTACCATACCATTTATAGTAAACGGTGTTAAAAGAATTCATTGAATAAAATTTTTTTTTTACAATTATCAGTTACGATAAAAATAAAAATTCTATTGTTAAAAATATGTTGCCATATTTTTATAACTTTTCGTCAGTTTTTTTAATTATTTAGAAGACTGTTGAGAGATCCATAAAATTACCCTTGTTCAACGTACCAACTAAACAACATTTTTATAATTGTGATAATTGGAACTGGTCTAATTTCTAATTTTTAATTTTTCTAATAAAAAATCTAATTCTTCTGGTCAAAATCGTGTAAGCAAATGAAAAGAAAAAAAAATAATGCGTGACAAAAAATAAGCGATTATAAATTGAAAGATAAGCTCGATTGAAATTTTAAATTTTTTGCAATTTTTTCTCCATGTTGATAATTTCAAAAATAAACTCGCACCCAAAAAAAAAAAAAAATTAACAACTATAACCCATTTCCTATTTTTATTTTGAGATGACCGGCGCACTCCTAGTCTAAATCGTCTACACATACACAAAAATAAAATGTTGACATACTGTTCCATTCGATTTATGTAAAACTATTTATTTAATTTCAATAAAATATATTTATATAATTTATCAACTTTGACTTGGAATCGTTTTTTGGATATACTTCTCATTAAATTAAATATGAATAAATTTTACAAATATATGCGTTCTATGGATGCCCTCTAAAAGATTGTGATTCACTATTCGATATATAGAAGTGTTATTAAGTTAACTTAAGACAAATTGTCCATCCAATACTTTATACACCATTAATTATGTAAATGTACTTAAAAATAGTGCTTTTTATAGTAACAACATAATATATTAGTGTTTCCGAAGTAATGAATTATTTTATTACATAAACAATTTCCTACGCAACCAAATAAAATACTATGAATTATAAGAACTGTGTTACACTATCCTAATATTAACACTGTAAAATATTGTAATCGACGAATTTACTGTCATCATTTATCTAAGTTTCTAAAATTTATTTCGTTTTGCCTTGGATTTTTATAAACCTATACCTTTACAGCCTTGCTCTTCAAATACGATCTTACCTTGCATTAATGTCATAATATAATTAATTAATAATGGAGTATTTTCCCTTAAAAATGGTTTCCTTTGAATTCGTACCGATTATATAAATGTTGTCCTATATTTCCTAATAAATAATGTTTTATGTAAATTTTATTTGTATTGTGTACAATCCATGACATAAATTATAATAAAGACAATAATTAAAATGAAAATAATATATATTCGCTTAAATAAGAAATAAATCGTGTAACACTACAGGCAGATACAATTTTCACCAAAATATATTTACATATACAAGTATCAAAGTCGAAATAGAATCGTTATTTAAGTGTAAACAAAGTACAATGAAATGCCGATCTTGAATGTACCGAATATTATAACATCATCGTATATGAATGACGTTGATGATCACCTAGAAGCTGTATTCATCAAAATATTTGATTTAGTGTACGAGTATATTCCAATATTTGTCTTTGTTTTTTTTTTAGTTGTTGTTTCATAACTATAATACTCATTAGATAAATCATTTTGAAATTAATAGGTAAAATAAACAAGTAACATAAATTACGTTTCAATATTAATTAGTTTATTATAATATAATATTTACCCACGAAAATATTCATCAAATCATGTGGTTTTAAATATATTTTTGCAATTGGTCCAATATCATATCTTTCAATTTCTATTCATTTCATACTCGACTTGCATTCCTTATTCGTTCAAGAAAATTAAATCTATTGCTAGTAAATGCTGTAAACAATTTATATTTGATGATTGTACTTAAAGTGTGTTATCAAACTTACCACATTTACCTACTACCATATAATCAACAAAACAATAACAACAAATATACATTTATCAATAATAATATTGGTGTTATTTTGAAAAATCGAAAGTTTACCACGTCGAGATGTTAAAAAATAATGTAATCTAAAGATCTGATTAGATTAAGTTTTGAATCAATGTAAAATAGTATCATAAATAATTTATTACTGTTACGTCTGTAACATTTGTAACAATGCCGAACGTAGTTAAAACGATGAAATAAACAAATTTTAATATTGTACAGATACTCGTTTACGGGGATTTATTTCATCAAAGACGATACATCTACTTAGGGATAGTAGACGTCAAATCTCCGATAAAAAAAACCCCGTTCGTAAACGGTATGTATAAACTATTAGACTTGTGAAGAATAAAATAAAAACGCAATGTTTAAATTATTCCGTGGCGCGCAAACAATTCATGGTGCATATATATATATATTTCAAAGACAGTTTTTAATGTTTTTGGCGTATATACAATCGTATCTCGTAGTATCGAGGGATCAAGGGGAAAAAATTCGACTTATCAAAAATTCGAGTAACCGAGGGTAGTTCACCGGAAATACTGAACGAAAAAGTCCGAAACTTTGAGAAGCTGGGGTTGCGAGGTTCCACTGTGTACCAGTGTTTGAAAATCGTACGCGTGAACGGTGTTGAGTAAACATGTACAAGGCACGTAAACAACAACGTCGAGCGACGTCACAACACGAAAACGGTATACTGAAAACGGACGAAATTCGCTTGCGAAACGCGCGCGCGCTGAACTTTCACGGAGTTTGTCCGGGTAAAATGGCGCGCGAACACCGACACGACCGAAAACAAAGATTGTCGCGCGTTATCGTGTCGCCCCGGTGTAAAGTTATTCGGAAAAACGTGTTTACCGTTCTGCCGTCCGCGACGGTGATGGTGGTGGTGGTCCGTGGTGGTCCGGCCGGCTGCAGTGGCGTTCCGATCGGCCGCGGTCACCGTCAGACCGCCGTGCGGGACCGCTCGGACGGATATCAGCGCGCAGAGGACCGAGAAAAGGGCCAGCGACCCCGGAGAACGACGGGAACACGTCATCGTGACTGTCCTATGGCCGCCGCGTGACGATCTCGCAGGACGTGATGTGGACGACGATACCTGATGATCCGGTCCACTAGCTAGTACGCGCGTTAAGTGCACGCGGCCACCCGTCCGCGAATCCGTTTTATACGTTCCCCGACCACGGCGGCGAGTCGACGATTTGCACAATATTATTATTTACGAACGTTATCGGTTACCACTTCTATTTCTCCTCGACCCGCTGTTGGCTCGGCGCATCATGTGGGACGATAACAATAATAATAACACGAGCGTTATCGGTTGCGACGCGACGGGGGAAAGAAAAAAATAAAAATAATCATAATACCGCGGCCTTTCCTGTTTGTTTTCATTATAATACACGTACTGTAATCGCGGCTGGCCAATGTCACAACTACGTGTTATTTGTTGTCGTACCGCACAGTATGGTACGCGCGCGGTCTCATTTATTATTATTATCAGGGCTAGGATTTGTATGGAATAAAAAATTGTAAAATATTCATTAAAATTTCTATAAGATTAACACAAAAATATTGTTACAAAAAAAAATATTTATTTATTGAAATACATCAATGGTCGTCTGTTTGTCATAATATAATGTAATTGAGAAATAAAAAAAAAATGTATGTTTTACACTTTAATCAGCAGGGCTAGAGAATTGACTACGAAATATTAATATTAAAATATAAATATTAATTACGAAATATACTATAAAACATAAATTGTTCGCATTTTCATAGTCGAAATATGCAATAATATGCGTTTTATCCAAAAATATGCGAAAACATGCAATATAAAAACGCCACCGTTTACCTCATCACGATATGATTCGTGGACATTACCGACAAGCTAAACAATCAGAAGTCGCAAAAAAAAACATGCTATTGCGTACACAAATCCTAGCCCCGATTATTATTATGCGTTTTACCGTTGCGTACGTACGCGTGCGTGTGCATACGTATGTTCGCCATATGTATATAGACTGTACCGTATTGTCACGCGTACTTATACGAGCCGCGTGTGTTGAGAAACGTCGACCCAATTAATCGTCGTCACTTGTGCGCTCGTTGCATAATGGAATTTTAACGCGATGCGTTTTCGATACTACAACCGTGAACAGGTACACGCATATATACGTACATACGAGCCCACACTCAACGCACACAACCAAGACCTACAACGCCGACCCGGTGCAAGAACGAGGACGCGACGGCGCGTGCCCCTGTGCCACGGGCGACCTGCGTGATCTCGCGAGTGTATCGTTATCGCTTTACGCAGAGTAGGTCATGGAAATAATGTGTTTTCATGGCGTTCGACGACGGGCCGACGGTGTTTTACAATTGAAAATCCTGTACGAATCGTACAGTACACTGCCGGTTTATGCGCTGCACGTGCGGACGACACGCGGAAATTCGTTCCGTCCTCTCCCGCGCGCTATAAAGACTACCCCACATCTCGGTTGTATTTTGACTGCGGTCGCTGAAACGAGTAATTCCTTCACGTTCACGTCCAATGCCGCCCGCATTATCGTTAATCTTCTTTTTACAAACGAAAAGTAATCTGTTTCGGAAGAAATCGACGGCGCGCTTTTCGTTTTGTTTTCGTATCGTTTTTATTACTCGACATTCGATTAAACCTTTGTCCGACGTCTATAAACCGCATGTTGCTGCGGAATCATAAGATTATAAATTCTGGTTTCCTTGATGTAAGCCGTGGATTCGGTGTTTTTGGTAATCTCTGGAAAAAATAAATAATCTGTATACTATAACTATATGATTAATCAATGTACCGCGCAGTCTTTTCAAGAAAATACGAAGTAATATCTTTAATTTCGTTGTTAAAATTGTCATTATTAAACGGTGTCTCAATAATGTAAATAAAATTCAAACATCGTAAAGTGAAGAGCTCATTATAATTTATGATATCATACATACGTTTTGTTACGCATCATGTATTTTTTCAATATACACAACAATTTAAAAATATAGTGATACCTCTAAATACTTAACACTCTATGCCGCTGATATTTTTTTCGCCATTTGAAGGTATCAGCTATTCGGAGAGATAAGACTGCATTTTGTGTATCGATCAACAACTATGTATACCATTTATTCAATGTAATAATGATATAATTTATTTTTATTATTTGTACGTAGTATTTAAAATTATTTATGTATGTTGTATGTATGAAAATATTTAATTTTAAACATTTATGAAAAAAAAATATAATTGTAAGATAAAACTTACAATTTATAAATAAAAAAATAAAAAACAATTACTTTAACTCGTACATGACTTTGCCGCGTAGTCATATCGAATATCTATGCATTTTCTAATTCGACTTTACAGAAAAGCAATAAAGTATTCCTTACCTCGATTGAAGATATTTATTTGCGTATACCTTTCACTGTTGCCAATGCCTCCCGTTGATTTTTTATTTTCTATTTATAATTATTCCGATGACTAAACTGATAAAAAAAAATATAATAGTTATGTAAGAGTGTATATTTTAATTATTTCATATATAGATTCCATTGTAAATTTACGAGAGTAAAAAATCAAGATCAAAAATTAAAATGCCATAAAAGTATCCAAAGTGTGTCCCACATTTAGGTTTCCTGTAGATATTTAATGGAAATGTCCCCGTTCCCAAAAATATGTCCACTATTTGTAGATGCTTGTTAAGGAAGATTCTCAGTGTAAATATTTGATGGGAGTACCTACTGGATTTAGTATTAGTTATATTAGGATTGCCATAAATTTATAAGGCGAAACCAGACAAAACAAACAAATTATTGACAAATATACTTTTTATATAAATTTTAATATACTGAAAGGACCAGTGGTGTATACAAGGAGGGGATGTGAGGGTCAGTTCCCCCTAGGCCTTTTTTTAAATGTTATAAAATAATGTTCTTGGTGTGAGGGCGTTAGAAACGTAAATAAAAAAATAATAAAATAAAAATTATGATTTGTTTGCAAATCATCACCCCTCCCCCCCTATCCATACAAAAGTTATGTATGCGTCACTGAAGAAGACCATTAATGGCCAGCAATATAATATTTAAAAATATTTTTGTAAAATAAAATATATTATATGTGTAAATTACAAATTATGTTTTTATTATATATTGTTAATCGATTACGATTAAAAATGTACTTTGAGATAAACGAGTCGAAATTAAAAAATTAAACAATACTACATTTCCTCTAGACGTCTAAGCCGGGACGCATATTAGCATTCTGGGGTCGGTCTCGTCACCGGTTATCATTTTAGCTTTCTGATTGGTCGTTTGATTTTGCTACGCTTTTTAAAAACTGTTATCTGGTATTATGTGTTATTTAATATTATCACATTGCAATGCATATTTACTATTTTTTTTTTTTTTATAAAGTGTGAATATAAATAATCTTTAAAAGAGTTTTTACTTTTTGTAGGTAGATTTTTAAGTAAAATATTATGTCGAAAAGTTTCAAAAAAAAAAAAAAAGTTAAAAAGTTAAAAAATGGAATTTGATGATAATTCATTTCGTTCTAATTTGTTTTCACACACCAGCTTGTATTAGTATTTTTACCATGAATACTAATCCAGTTACAAATATCTTGTTCGGAAAACATACTAGAACGAAAAGAATTATTATCAAATTCTATTAATTTAAACATTTTAAGATACTTTTTGATTTATAATATTTTATTTAAAAAGCTACCAACTAAAAGTCAAAAGTCAGAAATAAAATTAGAAGATTATTATAATATAATATTATATTATATTCAACAAAAAGTCAAAAAATCATTTTAAGATACTTTTTGACTAATAAAATTGTACTTAAAAAGCTACCTACAAAAAGTAAAAACCCTTTTAAAGATTATTATATTCATACTTTATAATAGTATCATAAATAATAAATAGGTATTGCAGTTCGATAATATTAAATAACACATAATACTAGATAACAAGGTTATAGGTAACAGTTTTAAAAAAGCGCAGCAAAACCAAACGACCAATCAGAAAGCTAAAATGATAACCGGTACCGAGACCGACCCCAGAATGTTAATATGCAGCCGGCATATATGGACGTCCCGAAAACATTTTTCGGGACACTAGGACACGAAGTCCAAAACCAATGACAATCCCGGTTTTCCGGGACATATGGCAACCCAAAGCTATATCAATTAAATAGTCTTAAACTTGAATCACACAGTCAGGAAGTAGTATTTTTCTTGTTTAGTGATTAAAAGTGACCTTAAATTTTCATCAAATTAAGTAAAAATTGAAAAATTGGTAAAATATAAAATAAATTTTATATGATCAATACGATGCCATTGAAGTAAATTTTTAAATAGGATTATGTCGCATAACATTTTAAAAATGTAAAAGTCATCAATGGACAAACCTTAAATAACGAAACATTTATCTATAAAACAGATTTTATTTAAACTAATATTTATTTTATCATCTCGACAAAAAAATAAAATGTAATAAAAACTGATAACTGCATTGGAGAATTAAATTGTATTTTTTCTAATTTTTAAAACTATCATATTAATGCGTTCTCTGATTTAATGATGGTCATTCAAAATCTCTTAATCTAAATTTATTATTATTAATATATATTACTTATTTAATTAGGTAATGAATTATATCTAAATCAAACACTGACACTGATTTTTCATCAAATCTGTACTCAAAATCGATAATTAATTCATCTAAAAATGGATAAAAATAAACAAAACGATATGAAAAAAATCTCTGGATTTTTATTCGATGAATTAGCTATATAAATAAATTGTTTTGTTTTTCTTAGGATTTTAATATCGTCAACAATTCCTAATTTTTTTTCAAGTATTTTATGCTATTAATAATTATTGAATAAACATTTTCAACGCTGTTTTTTTGTTTTTCTTTTGAAATAAATAGTACATCATTTAATTTAGAACCCGATAATGTATATTGAATTATCATGTATATACCATTGAAAATGTAAAGTGGAAAATGAAAAAAGGTTACTTAGCTCCTGAAACAATTTTGATTTTGATAGATGATAAAAATATCCCAGTTCTGAAAAGAAAACATATCAGATTTATTAAGATAATTTATGTAAATTATTGAATTTGATTTTTATACCATTAAATATTTTAAGTCTAAAATTCAAAAACCAAAACGAAAAGGGGATCCCCGGCTCCCGGAGGAAAATTGATTCGGGTGGATCCAAAAAAAAAATCCAGGTTCTGAAAAAGAAAACATAAAAATAAATGAATAAATATTTGAATATTTTGAAACAAAATAAGATTGATTAATTTAAATTGAATTATAATTTAAATTTATGAGCAACATTTATTAAGAGTAATAATTATTAGTTAGTTTTAATCTAATGATTTAAAAGTTTCGAGATATTCTATGTATATCAAATTAATTTGATTTTTATACCATTAAATGTTTAATGTATAAAATTCAACAAAAAAAATTATAAGTAGTTACCCGGCTCTCCAATGACACTTCCTTTGGGTAGAAACAAAGAAAAATCCAAGTTCTGAAAAGAAACATATCAAATTTATTAAGATAATTTATATAAATTAAATGAATTTGATTTTTATACCATTAAATATTTAATGTATAAAATACAACAAAAAAAA